CAACCCTGACGCCCCCCCCCCCCCCCCCCATTTTTAACCTGTCTCCAGCTTCTGAGAAAGGGAATGATTTTCTGCTGTGACACCTGTGCATTATTTGGGCTTTGGACTTAAAATGATCCCTTCTGGGTGGGTGAGGAATTAATTGGACATTAGAGAGAGCCCTTTCACCTATGGAAAATTAAGGTTGAATTTTGGGATGTAGGTAGAGCAGGAGAGCCCTGGAGTGAGCCAGCAATGCCAGAGGAATTGGGGAATGGAGAAACTGCCTGTGCGAAGACGTTTTGTTTTGAATTTCTTAAGAATTTGGGGAGTGAGAGAGGAGTAGGTGGGAGGGAGCACCACGGGCTCAGCTCTCTTGGATTCCTGGGCAGGTGAAAGAACAGGCTCTGCTTCCAGAGGTAAACACAATTCTTGCCCCTCCTCTGGATTGGCACCGGGGCACTGGGAAGGTGCTCGCTGAGCTCCGACGTTAATGAGACTCGTTAATGAGACAGCTGATTGCTCACTGACAAGCTGCACTGCCAGCTGGGGGAGGGATAGGCAGGAGAATTGTTTGGACGGGGAGAGGGAGTGCTCCCAAGCTGAGAAATAGGGCTGGGAAGGTTTTCCCTCCATGGCAAAGCGACAAGTAGGGATTCTGAGATGATTCCAAGGCTTTGTGCTGGCAGGGGAAGGTGCTGCTTGCCTTCCCGTGCTCCAGGTGAGCGGCTCAGCTCCCGTGGCTTTCTTGGGTGGTGCTTTTAGACACAAACCTCACACTGGAGCTGCTTTCTGCTCTGGAGCCGAATCCCCCCATTTCCAAGCCTGCTGCTGAAACCCACTCTCAGCCCCAGTATGTTCCCACCTCTGTAGCTGCTCCCAGATAAAACCACGACTGCCATGGGAAAGCAGGGGCACAGGGTTCGTTTGGAAGAGTACAAAGGAATTTCAAGCTTTAATTTCACACATTCCAGTTATTTATTGGACAGTCTATCACTGACTGGATTTCACACATCTTATTTCTTCTGGCCTGAGGCATCTGAGTCTCCCAAGGGACAATCTCAATGTACAAATCCCTTTGAGTTCAAATTTGGTCGAGGAAAATGTGTCTCAGGCTCTTCGGTTTCCCTAGTCCCACCTAAAGGGCTGGAAAAACTATATTAATTTTTGTGCAGATAATTACAAGCTGCATCTTCCTTGTCTTATCCTCAATTCCAGGTACAATCAAGGAATCACTTAATATATTGTTTGTGAGATGGATTACTTACAATATTCACGGCACCAACACCTTCTCCAGACAGCCTGGAAGAAAGAGAGGATGGAGAAGTCAGGGTTCCTTATAAGAATAATTTCAAGCAATATTTTCAAACCAAGGACCTTGGAAAACAGACCCAGTGGAGGCTGGGTGTGATGGGGAGTATCCAAGAGGATTTGGAATGACACCTGTTACTGTGTAAGATGGGAGTGAATTCCCTCTGCAAAACTTTGTGACACTTTCACCTCCTTGCAAGGCAAAGGTGAGAACGTTTCTGGATTTGGACGTGATTTGGTTTGCAGGGGCAGTTCCCAGCAGCTCTCCTCACTCTTCCTGTAAGTCACGATCTCGATGTCCAGGGCCAGCTTGATGTTCATGAGCTCCTGGTATTCCCAGAGCTGCCGGGCCAGGTCAGCCTTGGCTTTCTGCAGGGCTGTCTCCAGTTTTTCCAGCCTGGCCCTGGTGTCCTTGAGGGCGATGTCCCCATGCTGCTCCATGTCAGCGATGGCCGTCTGCAGCTTGGCCACCTGCAGGAACAATTCCAGTGGCCATGTGATGGGTCTGGATCCCACTTTCCAGGCCCCTTCCAGCCAGGAGTGGAGATGGGAGTGCCGCATGTTGGGGAGGTCCTGTGCCTGCACCTTCACGCTGCCCATGTCTGAGTGGAGCTGCTGGACCAGGTGGTTCATCTCTGAGATCCCCACCCTGGTGTTCTGGAGGTCATCCCTGTGCCAGCCAGCCGAGAGCTGCAGCTCCTCCTCCTCCTGTACTGGGTGGGCTGGGAGGGGCATGGGGGATATGGGGGACAGGCAGAGACTCACCCTGCTCTGATCCTCTCTTCACCAGCACTTCCCACACTCATCCTCTTGAGCTTCCTCCTTCTGTCTCCTTCTGCTCCTCCATCTCTCATTATCAAAGCAGCATTTTCCCATAGAGTTGTGAAGAATCATGGAAGGTTGGAAAAGACCTTTAAGACCAAGTCCAACTGCCAAACATCTCCAAGGAACTATTTGAACTCCTCTCCAAATCCACTTCATTTTACACCTTTTCCCCCTGTCCTCACTGCTTGTTCTCTCCAGTATAAATTAGCCTTTGGGGAATGCTAAACAAAAATCTCCCTGTTTGTTTTCACCTCCTCACCTTGCTCTGGTACCAGGACTTGGCCTTGGCACAGCTCTGGTTGGCAATGTCCTCACAGTGTTCCTTGACTTTGGTGATGATGCTCTCCAGGCCCAGGTTCTGGCTGTTGTCCATGGACAGCACCACCGAGGTGTTGGAGATCTGGGTCTGCATCCAGCACAGCTGCTGTAAGTCAAACAAACTCATTTTCTGTGCCAAATGTTTCGCTGTTTGTTTGTCCTGAGCTGAGGTGTAGAAGAGAGTTGGGGAGGAGCTGCAGCGCTGATGCGAGAGATGACTCACTTCCAAAAATTTAGAAAGGTTTATTAAACTTTATCAAAAATACAATAGAAGACTGAATAGAGAAAATATTATGGCGCTGGGAGCAGCAGAGGATTTTTCCCACCATGTACTTATCCACACAATGGAGGTGTCATCTTTTAACCCTTTAGCCCCTCCCAAAGTTCTATCTATCGACTCCTTTGCTGTCCAGTGGTGGAGTTAATTTCCTTACAACTTGATTGGAGATCAGCTGTTGCCACAGTAACGAGCCGACCATCCCAAATGTCCCGACCATCCCAGGCTGTCCCCTGATAACAATGCAAGGGGGGGTAAAACATTACTATAAATCCATAAAACTTCTCTTAACATATATACATGATTTTAATTGTGAGAGTCAACCATCGCATTACTCATCTATCACACTGACCAGCTCTTGGGCTCCTTGAGCCTCTGGAGACTGGGAAGATAGGGGAACAGCGACTGGGAGATTTGGGATATTCTTAGTGCTTCATAGAGGGCTTGCAGGAAGTTTATCTCATCTGCCAGGGCATCCACCTTGGTCCCCTGATCCACCTTGTTCACACAGGCAGCATCCAAATCCTGGAATGGTGACAACGGAGCTTGGACCAGACCTTCTCTGGGTCATTGAGTGAAGTCTTTGTATCTAACACAAACCTTTGGAGTTTCAGATTAAATTAAGAACTGAAAATTCTTATTAAACCAGAAATGGAGGATTACTTAATGGAGGATTTCTCTGCACCTTTAAACAGAGCCAAGAATAAAGTAATTTCTCACTTCCACCTTTTTTTTTGGGAGGGGAGGAGGGAGGATGTCCATGAATCCAAACACTGTCACACCACTGAATTTCCCTTTTCCTGCCAGACAGATATTTTGTACAATACTTGAAACAGCAGAAGCTTCTTATTGTGTCTCCTGCAGGGGAGACCAGGGAGCTGTGGATGCTGGGATTGGACACAGAAAGGCTGAGGACTGGCAGAGCATCTGGTGAAGGCACAACATCTGGATGACCCAGAGCTGATCTGGGGGACCAGATCAGTGGAATCTGTGGGACACTCCTGAGTTTGGGATGAGGGACCTGAAACAAGGAGGAATTACAGCCCAGCACTGCCCCACTGGCACAACCAGGTGTTTCTGCTTCCTGGGATGACTCCACCTGTGTCCCGTGCTCTGGGCCTGGCATTGCTGGATACAAAGGGTGATTTGAATGTGGTTTTTCCAAAGCTGTCCCTGCTTTGGTGGTGGTGCCTCCTCACCTTGAACATGACAAAGTTGTTCTCTGCGGTCGTGCACTTGTTGATCTCCTGCTGGTACCGCTGGGAAGGGAGAGCTCAGAATCCCTTTAGAGCCTCCACCCTGTGCAAACCCGCTCTCCACACCAGGAGAGACCAAAGGGTCTCTTCCTGCAGGTGTTTACCAACAATCCACAGATTTTTGGAGGGAGCAGCGCTGGAACAGAGTCCTTGATGAAGCTTTACTGTTTTTACTTCCATGTCACTGATTGTGATGGAAAAGGCAGCACCCCTGGGCTGGAGGGTGGGAGGGGCCGTCTAGAAAAGCTGAAGGCCTCATCAAAGGCACCTTTTATCCCGTAAATGGAAGCCTTGTGCTCCCGAAATGTTCTGGGTGGAGCCGGGGGTGAGGTCATCGCCACACCTGGTTAGTCAGGAGAGCCGGGATCTGCGGGATGGCCGGGGAGGAGGGCGGGGGGTGGCCGGAGCAGGGAGAGTTGAGGCCACGCTCTTGGGAAAGGTCAAAACCCAGCTGGAGCCTGGCCCCTTGCCCAGCTCCCATGGAATGCTTAAATGGGGGAGATGAAAGAGAGAAAGAGAGGAGTTCAAAGGAAGGAGTCCATGCAGGTAATAAACCACTGGCCTCTCCTGGCCCTTTCATGGGGGAAGATTTATTCCCATCAGGAATATCCATCCCTGAAAATAATTTCCATTAAGCAGAGGCCCAGCTTTGCGTCCATTTGTGGGTCTTGAAGCTCTTGGCCACATAGAAGAGAAAATTTAATGTCTGTTTTCCAGTTGCTGGATTAATGTTTGGCCCAGAGGAATCAGAGGTTTGGGTTGGAAGGGACATTAAAGATCATGTAATTCCAATTCCCATATGAGGAAGAAAATTTGGGATTCAAAAGTTTAAAATAGTTAAAGGTGGAAAGAACAAATTCCTAGGAAGTAGGGCAGGAGCCTGATGTTGTTTTGTAGGTGTAGATGCAAGAGGATGGTCCCTGCCTAGCAACATATGTGATGTCATTGAGCTTCATCCCAGAATCCACTGATCCCAAAGGAATATTTGCCACTTTGTCAGACACAAGCAGAGCTCTAAAGTCTAAAGTGCTTCTCTGATGTGACCATTGGCTGTCCAAGGATTTCATGTGTGTGCTGATTTCCTTCCCCAGGGCAGTCAAGGATGTTTCAATGCTGGAAGGAACTTTTCCTGTTGGGAAAAGTGGCACAGAGTGGCAGGCACATGATCTCCTGGGAAAGGAGAGCAGAGGGTTCAGGCAGGATACATGTGCCCTTGTTGGGAGCTGGGATGAGCACCTCACTCCCACATCTCATTTTTCTGGTTCCATACAGACAATTTAAGCTCCTCATTTATTCACATCCTTTCCCAGGAGATCCCTCATGGCCATGGGAGCAGGCAAAAATACTGGATGGATGTTTTCCTGAAGTGCAAAGAGTGGAGGAGAGAGGGAACTCCTGCTCCCAAGAGCCCAGAGATGCTGAGCTGAAACTCGGGCCCAGGATCCTGGTGACTTTCCATGGGGTGGGAGGTAACTCCTCACTTTCCAAAGTGCTCAAACTATCCAATACATTGAACTAATTCTGATTTAGTTTTAAACTAAAAGATGAGAGATTTAGATGGGATATTGGGAAGAAATGCCTCCCTTTGAGGGTGGGGAGGCCCTGGAATGGAATTTCTGGAGCAGCCGTGGCTGCCCCTGGATCCCTGGAAGTGTCCAAGGCCAGGTTGAACAGGGCTTGGAGCAGCCTGGAACAGTGGAAAGTGTCCGTGCCCATGGCAGGGGTGGGATCGGATGAGCTTTGAGGTCCCTTCAACCCAAACCATTCTGGGATCTTGTGATCCCATGGATACTGATGACTGGGATGGCTCCACACTGGGCTTCTCAGCTGACAAACACTGAGATGCAGCTCCAAGCAATTCAAGCAAAACACAGAGCTCCAGGGAGACCTTGGACCCCCTTCCAGTGCCCAAAGGGGCTCCAGGAGAGCTGGAGGGGGACTTGGGACAAGGGACAGGGGGACAGGACACAGGGAATGGCTTCCCATAGCCAGAGGGAGGGATAGATGGGATACTGGGAAGAAATTCCTCCCTGTGAGGGTGGGGAGGCCCTGGAATGGATTTCCCTGGAAGCTGTTGCTGCCCCATCCCTGGAAGTGTCCAAGGCCAGGTTGGATGGGGCTTGGAGCAGCCTGGGGTAGTGGGAGGTGTCCCTGCCTGTGTCAGGGGGTCGGATGGGATGATCTTTAATGTCCCTTCCCATCCAAACCTTTCCATGATTCTGAGGTCACATTTTTTGGGTTGTCTTGCGCCTTTTCACTGACTCAGGAAGAACGGAGTGAAGTCAAACTGGACAGGTCTTTCTGTGGGTGTTGCCTACCTGACTTGAAGTCCTCCACCACATCCTGCATGGCCTTGAGCTCAGAGCTGAGCTGCAGCCTCTCCTGTCCTAGAGCCTCCAGTTGCCACCTCATGTTGCTGATGTACAACTCAAACATGGGCTCCAGGTTATTCTGCACAATTTTCTGGCCTTTCAAGAGGCTCCATTTGGTCTCCAGAACTTTTTTTTTGTTTCTTCAGGAAAGGCACCTGAAAGCCATCAGAACAATATAAATAATTCAGGATCCTCAACTCAAAACTTCCTTGCTTTTCATGAAATGGAAGTTTAATATGGCAGGGGTTGTAAATGTTTTCTGTAATTTAAAGCATGATTTGATGGGCATGTCACCAAAAGATCATTGGTGGGAAGTTCTGGGAGCCAGGAGAAATATTCAGCTGCAAGGAAACCTGGAGAAATCATTTGCTCCGCATCCGGGTTGTCAAAAAGATCTATATGGACAGTCTGGATATGGAACAAAGTCCTGCACAAAATCCTGAACTCTGCTTTAATGATTTAGAATTAAATGTCTAACATTGAGAACTTCCTGACTCCATCTCCAGGTAATGCCAGAGCTGGAGGAGCAGAATGTGCCTCACCTTGTTGATGAAGGAGGCAAATTAGTTGTTGAAGGATTTAATTTGGTCCTTGTCCTCCTGCTGCACCTGCTGCACATTGGGGTCAATCTCCAGGTTCAGGGGCACCAAGAGGCACTGGTTGACCATGACCTTTTGGATCCCTCCAGGGCCAAATCCAAGCTCTGCTTCTCCAGCTCTGCCTCCTGCCCTGGGCTGTATCCTGTTCTGGCAGCCCTGAGCCCTCCACTCATGGCCATCCTCGTGCTCGCCCTGAGTCTGTGAGGGCTCCTCCTGCTGAAGGCTCCTCTGGCCCTTCCCGTGCCTCCAGCAGGGCCATGGGACACGGACACGGAGCTGTGGCTGCTGTGCAGGATGGGCATCATGGAGGAGCAGCACCAACTCCGAGAGACCCAGCACTGAAAGAGGACAATGAGGTGAGGTGGCAGAGGAGCAGGAATCTTTGTGAGAGAGGATCAGGAGTCTTCTCAGCCTTTTATGCTTTTGGAGAGCTGGGCTTGACCATAGCTTAAAGGAGTGAGCTCATGGGTTTGGTATCTAGCACTCAGTCACCCCCACCCGTTCTAATGCCACAGGATGGCAGAGACAGCTCACAAAACTTTCCAACCCATATTTTCTAAGCTGTTTTTCAAAGAGGAGATTACTGTTGGGGCAAAAAAAAAATCCATTTCCATCCACAAGTTGCCTTAGGGCTTGGTTTTAGCTTGGTTAAAGTAGTTCCTGTTTAGTTTAGAGCTGATGAGACTGAAGTTGCCGCAAGAGGGAATCCAGAGATTGGGAAAATGCCAGTTTGATGTGCTTTGCTAAAGAAAAATCCTGACTCTGCCCTCCGATTTCCAGCCATTGTGGGGTATTACAACCTGTGCTGATCCAGGCAAGAAGTTCCTGTCTTGGTCTGCACTCCTGAGCTTTCCAGGCAGAACTTCATCTGCACTGAGGTGCTTCTGGTAAAGGTAGGGATTTGGGAGACAGCAGTGCCCTTGTGGGAGCCCAGAATTCTGAAATGAGGATTCTGAAAGTCCAGGGTCCCTGAGAGAAAACAAACTAAGGTGTGAAAGTGCTGCTTATAAGATGAGTCACAGAATGTCCTGGGCTGGAAGGCACCCACAGGGACCATCAAATCCAATCCCGGTCCTGCACAGACACCCCAAAATCCCCCCCTATGCTGAAGGCCATTGTGTAAATGCTTCTGGAGCTCTGGCAGCCTTGAGGCTGTGACCATTTCCAGTGGTTTTGCTTCACCAATTTGAGATTTCCTGGCCAATTGACCAATTAATGTGGTGGGTCTAGCGCTGGCCACACTCCAGTGCACCCACTAGAATATCCTCACTCATTTCCTGCTGCGAGATAGGAGGAAGGCAAAGCAGGCTCAAAACTTTAAAAGGGTATAAAGAAAGCTTTATTAACAGTAACTAAGAGAAAGAATAATAAGAATCAGAATAAAATCTTTAGAACACTTCTCCCCCCTAGAACTTTTTCTGTGTTATTACCAATTCAGTCAGTTTATCACTTCTAGAACAGTCTTTCTTCAGTTCACTTAGGGAGAGAAGTTTCTCTTGTTAATGTTGTGGAGACTTCTCCACAAGGAAACAGTTCTCTCATGGCTTTTAATTTCCACGAATAGCAGCTGCCTGGGAATCTGCAATCATGAAGTCCCTCCCATCTTTCACAGCCTTCCCACAGCTGTGTTTACGGGTCATGTCAACTTATGGAGTACTATTTTAAGGATGAGTTGTTCAAGAGCAAAGATTTTCTTTATCTATCTCTGAGATCATCTTCATCACTGAGAACAGAGGTCTTCTTCTTCTTTCCATGGGGCAAAGGGTCTTCATCACTCTTCCCTCTCTCTCTGTTCAAATTTCTCATGGAATCACAGCTACTTTAACATGTGCTTACTTAACATTGTTCATATCTACAATTTGAACACTTAATCTCCTCATACTTTTTCAATGAGTTACAGGGAAAAAGAGTCTGATGTATCAATTACATCTTTCTCCATAGCTTTACAAAAGTATTTCAGCCCCAAAATCAAGGCATCTCCTCATCCATCCCATCTGGGACTTGACTCTTTCTTCACTGACCTTGGTGTCTTCATGTTGTTCCTCTATGTGTTCTCACTCTGTTCTTTTCTCTCACCCGAGGGAGGATTGATGTCTGTAGGTCTCATCTGTGTACTGAAAGAATATCTCACCCAGGCCTGCAGATGGCTATGTGATTTCTGCTGGGCAGTGGTGGAGCTGTTTACAATAGAGGATTTCTTCAGCGGCCATGCTGGGGGAGGGCCAGGATCTCAGCAGCCAGGCCAGAAACAGCCGCAACATGGCTGCGGGCCGATGGCTTCTCCTCCCCCTGCCCAGGAGTTGTGGATGAACCCCAACAGTGGCAGAATCTTGGCCGAGCCGGCCTGGCCCAGGGCTGCTCCTGGGGCCCAGCAGACCAAGCTCGGCCTAGGCTGGTGGCAGGGCAGAGCTTAGTAGCAGCCAGGTGTTGGCAACTGCAGCCATGGCCCGGCCTTGGCCCTGTGGCTTCCCCTCCCCTGCCCGGTGGTTGCAGGTGAACCTCAATGGCAGCAGAATCTTGACCGAGCTGGCCTGGCCCAGGGCTGCTCCTGGGGCCCAGCAAACCCAACTTGGCCCGGGCTGGTGGCGGGGCTGGGCTTAGTAGCAGCCAGGTGTTGGCAACCGCAGCCACAGCCCAGCCTTGGGCCCACGGCCTCCCCTGCCCTGCCCAGCAGCCGATGGGGCGCGGTGGGCTCCGTGGGAAGGGCCTCAGCCCCATGGCAGAGCCTGCCCAGCCCAGGCCGAGATGGGGCTGGGCTGGGCTTGTTGACCTGCTTTCAGGCCTGAAAAGATAATTTCCAGGATTTTTAGTTTTCAACATGTGTGTTTACAGAGCTGTGTTCAGCTTTCTAGTGGTTTAACAGTGTCAATATTTAGAATGACTCACTGATTCATTTTATCAGGAACAGAGGAAGCTCTCAGCAGCTCCTCTCAAAAAAACTCACTTCCGTGGTGGCTCCAATGATAAAACCAGCACACCATTCCTTGGGGAGTCTGTTCAGTGTCCTGGCACCCTCTGGGGAAGAACCTTTCCTGATATCCAACCTCAGCTTCCCCGGCACAGCTCCAGCCATTCTCTGGGTCCTGTCCCTGGTCCCCAGAGCAGAGATCAGAGCTGTGCCTCAGGACAAAGCTGCAGCCCCCAAGGAGTCTCACCTCAGTCTCCTCTTTTCCAAGGTGGACAAACCAACCCTCAGCTGCTCCTTGTGTGACCCCTGCAGACCCTTCCCCATCCATGTAGCTCTGGATGGAGCTTTGATGCTGGACAGTGCTTAAATAACAAACCAAACTCCAGCTCTGCTGCTGCAGTGGGATGTGGACTCGAGAGGCTGGAGAAAAATGGGCAGGTGCTGAAGAGGACTAGCCACTTCCTTTCCAGTGCCCCGAGGGTGTTTTACTGTCTCACAACCTCCTCTGGGGACATTATTCCTCCCAAAGAGGGTTACTTTGGGGGTTTAATGGGTGTTTTCCATCTCTACTTATGGTAATGACAGTGGAGGTGTTTTATCAGTCCTTGCAAATGTGTGTGCAGATCAGATGAGCTGCAGCACACATTTTCTTGGGAAAACCAGATTTATATCCCTCCATGACTCATCCCGTTCGATTACAGAGGTTTGGGCACAACTACTGTGGTGTAGAAGGCTGAGATGTCATAATGTAGGAATTAAGACAGAAGAACTTTCTCTTGTGTCAGGTAGGAAGGGTACATATCTTCCCATCCTCATGGAAATAGAACATCCAAATGCTTTATTCCTGTTGGATATGAGGTCCATGAAGCTGGAGAGGAAGGAGATGTCTCAACTTGTGTGTGACTTTTTTTACCTCTAAAGCAGCAAATTTACTGTGCTGCACCAACCACCCTTTGCCACAAGGTAAGACAAAAGAATTGTAATTAAAAAGAGGATGTGACATAATTAATTCCACATGCCTTTTATTAGACAAACACCAGGAAATGAGGGAAGTTGAGGGTCAAAGGACAAACAGGAGCACACCATCTTTTAAATACATAATGACACATGGGTTTGATTTCCGAATCTTTTGAAGGAGCTGGATGAGGACTGGCCCCAAGAGAAGCCTCAGTCTGGTGGCACTGGGGCCTGGACTCAGTTCCTCAGTAACATCTCCTGGTGGAGATGGAGTTGAAGCTGGAGCTGCTGCCTCCGACCATGCATGAGCCACCTGTGCCGTATCCACTTCCGGAGATGGAGCCTATTCCCATTCCAGCGCAGACCCCACCGACAGCCCCACCACTGGAGCTCAGGAAGTTGCTGCTTCCATATCCCATTCCTGAAGTGGTCACAGCTGCCAGAGGAAAACACTCTCATGAGAGGAATTCACAGGCAGTGGATGAGTGGGAGAGGCTCTGAGCAGGGGTGGGAGGTAGATCTAGAAAGTGCCAAATGTCTCTAAAAGTTACTTACAGACGTTCACTGAGCCAGCAC